AATGAAATTTGTCTACATTATGCCATGACAAGTGGCGAAATGGAACCCAACAAGAAAGTTATGGTAACTAGGCGGTGGAGTCCAGTCATCATTAAACAGATATGATTTCTATATCTTTAACATGTTTCTGTAACCTACGAACAGGCTCAAGTCCTTCAACACCTCGCCGTTTGAATTTGAATGAATCCGAAATTTCTCTATTTCAACATTTTGGATTGTTTCACAACGTCTCTAATTTGAATCTGGAGAATTTGAATTCTATGGTTACGCTTTCCTTTTCTCATCCCCTCAGCTTTCTTTCTGTGTATTGAATAAATTCAAACTTTATGAGCATTCCAATAATAACATTGGTGGGGAATAATATCTTGTGAAATGAAACGCACAGCAACCCTTGCTTGATTTTCCCCTACAAATCGTGAATCCTGATGAAGTGATACATGCTAATGAGTGAGTAGGTACATACATGCAATGTGGTTCAGCATTCGTTGCTTCCGCTGTTCTTTGTGCGTATATGGCATCCAGCGCGACTGGAAATTCGTCAATGGTTAACTTTGCTTTGATTATTGTATATTTACCAGAAAGGCGCCACGATTCTCGCATCCACCAATTACGGTTCGGGACGAGTGATTTTACTACATTTTTGGAAAGTATTTATATATGTATTTACCATAGCGCGATGCGCACTAACAGCATTGCTTTTCAAGTGCCGGCTCAGTGAACCATGAAAAATACCATGAAAATTTTATTTTCTTTTTCCCACTTTCAAACTAATTTCACAACGTCTCAGAGTCCAACCCAACTAAGTGGGCAGGGGCGGGCAGCCCCTGGGGCCTCCCACTTCCCTGGGTACTTGTGTCGATAAAGTTTCCTCCATCACCGCCCTTAATAAGTCATAGTCGAGTTCGATTTCTCGAAACTTTGCTCCTGTATCGGCAAATGGCAATCGACCTTTTATCAGAAAGCCTGGAATCAGAAGTTCGGATTTCCCCACTCCATGAAGCATTCGAATGCTACGGCATCCTTTAAACCAGATGTACTGGAATTAGGTAGCACGCACCTAACTTTTCGATGGGTAAAAACTATGGAGTCTAATAATTACCCGCCTGGATGCTTGGCTTCGCCACGAAATTGTGACTACTAAGCCCCACCACCACTTGCTTTGAAAGTACCAATAACGTTTCGATTGTTTGTGGTTTGATAGCAATACTCTATCTTAATTATAATGTAGAATGATAACTTTCAATAAAAAAATTAGTTTTATTCTTTTTCCAGATTTCTATAAATAAATTTTAGATTATCGAAACGTTATTGGTACTTTCAAAGCAAGCAGAAAATATCATGAAGAATAAATTTTTTTCATAAATCAATATTTAAACAAAAATTCCCTCTTGTATACTCCATCGCTTTACACACTGTATCTAGCGTTTAGTTTGCTTTTCGCATAGCAATTTATTTTCCTTTGTTTTTTCTTTTTCCTTGTTTCCTTGTTTATTTGTAAAATGCCTCAATAAAGACATTATTATTATTTAAAAATAGAATGTGTGAATTTGGGGAGAGTCAGTTTAATGTCGGACCACCTACTTCAAAAGTTATAGAAAAAAGCAACCTTTATAAAAAGATGTAGATTGAAAGGACTTCAGTGCATTTGTGTGTGGCAGATCAGTATTCTATTCTCCAGTGTTGATTCCATTCAGTAAGGTATGTCTTGTCGGAAACACCGGAGCAACCACATTCCCTTTGTCGATATCCGCTTCCGACCTCCCGCTCACTCGCTATTCGCGTTTTAAGTTTTGACTCCACTATCAGTAAGATCTCGTCGGCGGCTACCACATTACCCTTGTCGGTATCTACTTCCGACATCCCGTTCACCGGCAATTCGCATTTTGATGGATTTCGCAAGAAACCCTCCACACAATAGTGCTTAAATTTTGGGGCAGTTCTCAGAGCTCAAGCTTCTGTTGGCGACCCGAGAAAGAGAGACCGCGATTTAAGAAACTTTTGGGCCCCCAAAGTCGACTACACCTCGAAGACGCGCGCCTTGCAAAAGTGGTTAATTTCTCCCATCGGAAAAACAAATTCCGTCACGCAGGAGTAGTGCGCGTTTGGAGGATCTTTCCAACGACGCCAATTTGAAAACAATCCGAACAAAACTGTAGAAGAATATAGGAAAAAACAAAAATCACCACGTTAGTATAACATGCTGGGAGAAGGCGCCCAGATCCACATCATGTAACCCCGTCCCTAAAGTTATTAGTTACACGGCCCCGGTAAGTACATATACACTCCTCGTGTTTCTAGAAGCGTTCTTCTACGGATTCGCATATGCTGCCAGCCAGCAATCCGGGCGGGGAGATTAAAACCTACCTCTGCACAAATACATCGAAGTCCATCGAAAATTGGCTTATCTCAGAATGGCAAAAAAAACACTTCTCTTATTTCTAGAGTTTGGCGTGTAGATTTAACACAACAAGAGATTTCAAAGTTCAGTTGTCGACAAAAAATCGATTTTTAATTAAAAAAAAAAGTAAAAGATACTGTATACTGCTCTCTCTTGTCATTACCTCTAAAAAGTATTATGCGGATCACTCTGTAATTGGGCGCAAACCTGTTGAGGGCTCAGAACAAGAGAGGTATAATAAATAAATAAATAAATAGTTCCTGTCTTGTGATTCCCTTTTCTACTATTCCTCAAACTGTTCTAAACGCTCGCTTACCATCCCCTAATACCTCAGCCCACCTGTTCCCCACGTACCTAGGTATTTCCTGCGCTCTCATGCCGTCTCTTTCCTCTGCTGACCGTACTGTCATATAGGTATCTACTACCTACGCCCTTCTCTTTTCCACAGCTCTCTCTTGCCCTTTACTGTCCTCTCCTAACATGTTCTGATGTCCACTACAGATGTCCTAAATCTGCACTCTCCTACACTATCCTATCCTTTCTTGCTGTTTCCTGCTTTACCTCTCCCTGTCTTGTTCTCTCGTACTCATTTCTTGCTCTCAATGCCCTCTCCGGCCCCTTTGTCCTACCCTATCCATTGCTGCTCTCTCCTGTCCTTATTACCATCTTATCGCCCTTTCGTAACAATACCCCCCTCTCCTCTCCAGTTCTTGCCCCTCTCTTCAATTCTCTCCTGTTTTTTCTTGCTCTTTCATGTCACTTCTCTCCTATTCTGTGCCCAGATGTCCATACCAGACTATTTAAAAAGCAAAAGTAAAAAAAAATTTCTACAGGTTGATAAATGAACTGCGTAGTTTAACTAGTATATTGTAGAGAAAGAGAGAGAGAGAGATTATTTGGATCGTAAGAGCAAGTTAAATAACATCATACATCCAAAATTTGAATTTGAATACTTATTACTGCATCCAATTTTAACAGTGCGTATAGTTGTAAGTTAGATTTACCTACCGAGTCTAGAAATAAAAATCTGTGAAATGAATATATTGAACAATTAAGACTTTAAAGGCACTCAAATCCATAAACACCTTGTCATTCCAAGACAAGACTTCAAGCTACTTCTACACTCAAGGTTTTAATTTTATGTGAGCTTGCAGGTTTATATTACACATATCCAAATTTATGTTTTAGTTTGAAATTTAATTTTAACGATTCAGTCCTTTATTTTTCATTCGACGCTTCACTTCTCTTTCAAGGAGCTTGAACTCATATTAAAAAGCTTCTATTCCAAGGAAAAGGGTTCGACATTAAGATACCTACCCATTTCATGTATTTTAGAGCCTTTCGCAATGATTTACTAAGAGCCAGAGGAAGAATTTATAATTGGAGGGTAACCTTACCTTTGAACTAGATAGCTGCGCAGGTATAGAGTTGCGTGAAGGTCAAAAATTAAGACCATGTACCCTAAAAAAGTTTTCATCAACAAAGTATTTCGCCAAATAGGTAGTATGTAGAAGTGTGCTTGAAGTTCACATCCTGCGTCCAAAATCCAGGAGCGAAACTAAGCTAAGCTTGTTATCAGCCAAGATCTTTACGTGACCACGTTTCCGCACTGAATTTCCAGCTGTACAACTACAAGTGCAAATTTGGCAAAAGGAAGAAATTGGTTTACTATAGAATTATGAATTCAACCCTTTACTATTTACATCTGTGGTTCAAATTCGTAGTAACCAATTTACAAGCGATTAACATACCTACCCTTTGGCAAACATTAAGAGAAATCTTGAACTTATATAAGAACAAGGCAGCATAACAAGAGAGTTTTGTTCCGCTCTTAAATGATCCTGTGTCCAAACCCAATTATTGCAAAAGGTTAGTCTGGGCAAATCTAGACCCTAGAGACCACAACCATTGGAGGCAAATGATAGTTTATTATTTCCACGCCAGATTTTCCGGATATTTCGGCTCTGGTCCATCTCAGATCAAGCGCAATAGTCAGCTCCATCATTGATACCTCAGCAGTATAATCCCACCATGACAGCACTCAAAATCTGAGTTTCTTTTCTTCAATTGCACGTCATTCTTACCAAATCCGTTTGAAAATATGGATTTTAAACTCAAGTTCTTTTTATCCTTCCGTTTCAAATTATGTAATAACGTGTGTTCTTAGACCTGGAAGACGGTGTTGCTTTGCAAAAGTGATTTATGTACAAGAAATTTCAGTGAGGTTCGGCAAGGACTTACTTTTTGTAACGCTTCGCCTATAACAGTTAGTAAATATTCAATTATACTACCACTGACAACGCCAACAAAAAAAATTACTACTAACATTTATTTACAAAGCACAAGTACAAATACATACGAAAAATGGTTATGTACAAACTCTCAAAAATTGCTCAAAAACATGATAATTGCAACAGTCATTTACAATAAAAAAATAATAACAAACAGAAACTTAAAAGTTAACTATATACAGAATTAGCCTTTTCACATTGTGCCTTCAACGTTATTAAAAAAAACTTACATAGAGATCAGCCTTATGAAAATTGTATAGGTAATTTTTACACATTATTATGTATATTACTGGCATTTGTAACATGCTAAGCCTACTTCACTATATTGAAAATCCAGATCAATTGACTAGGTCCCTTAAATTTATACGAACACAACTCTTCATGCACCACTCACAAAAACGTCTCAAATGAGTCCACATGCACTTGGTTAATATACACGTACCGTTACACCATAGTCACATTTCGCCTCTTCTTCTCACCGCTATTAACAGAATTTAAAGAGCCCTGCAGGCTATTGTTACTGTAAGGCGCCAAGGACTCGTTTCTTTGCATCGTTTGATAGATCTGTTGGGGTGGGGGCTGGTGAACGCCGTAAATGTTGTAATTTACGGGGTACCCGTTGGAGTTATAGGCGGGGAGTGGGGGAACTGGGGGAGCATGCGTTTGCCCGTAATGGTCGGTGATTTGGTTCGCGATCTGGTGACCGTTCATGCTGATGTGATCGACGTTTTGTCCGTTCAGGGACATGTGATCGAGCTCGGATTGGTGGTGCGCCAGTAATTGGTCTTCGGGGATCATGTTATCCAAGGGGCTGTGGCGGCGTTCGTGCTCGTGTAATAGCTGAGAGGCGCTCCAGGAGTTGTACGGACTTAGGGTGTGTCCGTTCCGCTGCAAGCTATTACTCGAGATGACACTAAGACCTGTATATGTATTATTTTGGGTGTTTAACTCACGTTGCTGCATTTGTTGCTGTTTTAGTTCTTCAATTAATTGCTGTTCTTGCTGGTGCACGAGTGAGTAACGCTTTTTAGGTTCGTCGTCGAATGAGAAGCTGTTAATTGGGACGCCAATCGTGTGATGGTCGGGTAAATCTGAATGGTTAATGTAGCCTTGTTGCGAGTTTTGCGAGGAGTGCAGAGGGGAGCTGGGTACAATCGTTACTGCCGAACTCAGTTTGTCGGTTTGTAGACCGGTGGAGTGGTGCGATTTCTTGTGACTGCTGCGATTGCGGCGTTTAATTACGCAGAAGTAGCAGTAGAGGCTTAGTATTATGGCCAAGATAACTACGCCAATTACTATCGGTAGTACAACTTCAAGTCCGAAGTTTCCAGTGTTGCTGGCGGGTCCTACTGTGTCAATGCTTGGATTCATTTGATTGGGCCACGCTGTTTGGTCGTTTGGAATGTAGGTGGGAGGCACTGTTGGAGGCGGAGGTGGAGAAGGAACAAGAACTCTGACCCAATTCGACAAGGGAGACGCCAGTGAGTCTGAGTACATTTGTGGATACGACCGAATTGCAAAATAAAGCGGTTTATCGAGTAAGTGCTTTGCTTTGGTCATGTCGAGCGTAAATGTGGTTTCGGTACCAATGGATAACACATGAGGGGCGTCATATTCCCAAGTCTTCGCTAACACCTCATAGTTGTCTACGATGTCGTTGAGAGTTGATGAGTATTTAATTTGATAACGGGCCGCTCTGGTTCCACCCAGATCAGGCGATGTCCAAGTGAGCAAAGCCTTCATGTCTTCGGCTTTTACTTGAACCTTCAGATCGCCGATACGGCCGACCGTAACTTGACTCGCCCGAACCATATCTTCAGAGGTGAACACAATGGTGATTGGTGGAAGAACTCTTTGAAACGGCGAGAGCGGCTGGACACTGTAAGTCGGTACCGTGCTTCCGCAACACGGTTTTTCATCTGTAAAAAGTGAAGGAACATAATAGAAGAAATCTATTCCCAGCATCAAACATTGAGCCAAAATAATGATGGCTGACTGATTCATCCCTTAAATAGTAATGCCTTATCTTACCTGGTGCGTTTATATTAGTTTGCCAGGTATACGCCGTATTTCCATTATCCGTGACGGTCACATCGAAAGTGTACGTGCCTGGACCACCAGAAGCCGCGCTGAAGTATCGGGAGTAAATCCCATCCCCCTTTGTAATGTCTGGATCGCCACTACCAGTGTCCAGCAGTTCCAAATTATCACTATACGCAACCGAACCGTTCACTTCCGATCTGGTAAACGTGACGAGAACCTTCGCGCCCAAAACGGGCCAGTTGCCCTGCTTAACTTCGGTGAGCAAAATTAGCGGCCCGCCCGGTTGATTGGTGCGCACCCAAAACCTCGTTCTAACGACCGGAACTGTACGAGTACGCGGTGTTGCCATGACTTGGACGTAGTGAGGTTGTGGATTTCCGGCGTCCCGCTCGATGGTGTAAGTCCAAGTGCCGGGCTATAAAGGAAACACTGACGCAAAGAGGAATGGCACAAGAAACGCACTTACCTCAGAAATGTTAACCCTTAACGAAAGTATTTTGGCGATAACCATATCTTCACTTCGTCCTGTGTACTCTTGGTGACTCGGACTTATGAGGGAAAGGCCACGGATCAGCGGTTGTTCTGTGTTGTGGGTGTACAGCATGAAACGCGCCGGCTCGCCCATATTTTCATCCAGTACAAAGCTGCCAGTAATTGAAGTTCGACCGTCATTCGTCAATTTCCGCCTGTGAATCTGAACCATTTCCACATTAATCTTGTAAAAAATAAAGGAGTAGACGACTTACCTCCATGAGTAACTCAGATGGGTTTCCTGAGTAAAATCGCTCAATTACGTTGTAAAGAACGTTAGTTAACTGGAAGTAAGATGACAGCATGCTCATGTCCACATTAAACTTTTGCTCCATAACCGTGTAAGCGACGCCATCAGTTTGGGTTGCAAGAAAGTCAAGGGGTTGAGATCTGACAACCTCAGGGTAGTTAATTGTCGCGATTCGTATCTTGGATTTTCTAGCTTCTTTGGTCAGGTTCTCCAACTGAGCGTTCATATTCATGCCAGGCGCAATTAACACAATGACATTGCGTGCACCACTCCTATACTTGGAGTAGTCCACCAACATAGTAATGGCATCCTTCAAGGCACAGTGAAGGCAGGCCGGCTGGCTGGAATCGCCAGTATTATAAGGCAGATTTGAGCTAATATCGCCCGCATTAGTGTTCTTCTTTAACGACAATATATTGACCAACTTCTTCGCGCCGTTGTTCTCGGCCAGAATAACGCCGACTTCGCTATTCTGCGGCAGATCGAAGAGTGACCATTTACGTATCGCGTTCCTCAAATGGCTCCACGATTCCCGAACCTGCATGTCTTTCGTATTTTCGATAACCAGAATGTAACGCGTGGTGTTCTGCTTTCGGTACGTAACTCGAGTGGTCGTGTTCGTAATTTCGTTTGTGTACTGATTGGGGGAGATCGTATTAACGGAAAAATCGGGGTGATTACTAATGATATCGAAGGTACTCCGGCGATTGCAGATTAGATTATGTTTGGTCGGCGCGTACTGGTCGTGGGTGCCCTCGTCGCAAAACATCGAGACGGATGGAACTTCGGCAGCGAACATCAGCGAGCTACGTGCTTTTTCGTCCACCATCCTGCTCTTGTTGTAATTCTTTTCGACGGAGCTGCATATACTGCAATAAGATGACGCTATTGTTAAAATTCAATTTGTTAATTGGGACTGCTTAATAGAGTAATCGAATTAATCCTTTTCCTTACCCTAGAGAATTTAATTACTTCAATTGGCTGACCGTCTACTCTAATCAAACTCGGTATATTGTGAGGAAATTTAGGAAATAAGCGACTGCATAAAAAACGTATTACAACATCGGATGAGTGTGAGAAACTAAAAAATAAACAGACAGAGAGTACAGTATTTCGATCCTCAATATGGGGTAAATAGGTCCCGAAATTAGGATAATTTTAACCTAGTTGATGAAAACGTCATCCCAACCCTTACTCGGTGGTATCAAAGTTAAACAGGAATCAGGAAATGTCAGTAAATGTACCGATGTTTGTTAAACTTCCTCGACAAAAGCGACTTTATATAAATACCAGAAAACTTAAGAAAAAGAAAAGTTAATTGTTACACCCCGTATATTACTATACTACAATGGTTTCAGATCTTATATAGCTTAAAATGTTGAGGGGGGATTTTTGAAGGCAAGACATGTAGGGTGTTTTTCACTGCTTGTTTTTGGTCATATGGACACTCTCTTATTCACAAGAGTAACGATCCATGGACAAAGAGTCTTGAAATATTGTGAATCCCATTTAAATTAAATCATTTGAAATTTTTATAAAAGACTAATGAATTGACATTTAAATCGCTTGAAATCTTCACCATCCAGCAAAACTAAATAGCCCTGGACAAATGTCAGCGCACTCTTTCAGTACAGTTCAATTCACTTTCAATACAGAATATGAACTATCTTGATCCACATTCATATTTATGAGTTACTCCAACCCTTCAAGTTTGGTCGAAATCGGTGCATAATTACGAAAGTTAGAGTGTTTCTTGGAAGTGATATATTATATAAACCTATGAATATACTGGTACCATTACAATAGGTAGATAGAAATCTACTTAAAATGTAAAGAAATAGAAACTAATTAAAGGGTGGGGGTTAAATTTCTGACAACAAATTATTGAGTTCATCTATCTATACTTAAGAAGATAAATCGTGATTCAAACTGCCAACATTCCATGTTGGATTAGCTCCACGTGCCATAAAGGTAGAAAATAAAATTGTGAGTAATACAGGAAACAATCACACTTAAAACAATTATATTAGACACTTATAAGGAAACTGTAAATTATTATTCCAGTCACAAATTTCGATCGAATTTTCCACGCTTAGTCATTACTCTACGTGTCAAAATTTTTGATACTTACCCATTATCTTTAATCGGCAAATCTGAACATCCAGTAACGCGATTCCTCCTATTTTCATCGTCGTAATAGCAGGTGGGATACACGGGATCGTTTTCGTAGCCCTGCTCGTCGAACACTCCGTAGCGGTACATCGCAAATTGTTTTACGAATAGTCGCGCTGAAAGCAAAACGTTTTTTTTCCTGTCGTCATCTCGGATGGGGTAAGCTAACCTAGGGTCTCGTCCTTCTTCAGCAAAGCCTCGTAGGCGAGGTAGATCTGATCGCCCGGTTGTCCGCAACCCGCCGACTGCTGCGTCCAGATCGTTCCTCTCGTCAGATCGTTCGGCAGGATGGTAATGTCCGAGAAATCGCCGATGCCGGAACTGACGGGTTTCGGGGCGCAGGAGTCCGGCCAGGAGAACGGAAGCACCACGGTCGCCGATCTCAGAAAGGCGCGTCCGTCCAGCGCGGAGAAGAGATGCTGGGAGGCGAGCGCCAAGGTGTCCTGGAAATAACGCGTCTGTTAGTGAGGAATTTAATTAAGTCACCCCCTTTGGGAGATTAAGTTGCGAAATGTGTAGATTTGAATATCAAAGGATTTGGCACTTGAAATGACTATGCGCTTAACGGCGACCCCTGAATGTCTGCCATTAAAGTACAAAAGGGACATTTATAGAGAGATTAACGCTACAAAAAATGGCAGGGATCCCTTTGAAGTTTATGTGTTCGTTATTCAAATGTAGTTTGGATATTTGTAATAAAAGGAACACTGAGAGGGCCGTCAGAGGCAGTCAGTGACATTTAAAAGCACACAAAGTTCATTATGCAAGTGTAATTACGAAACGCTGATAAAATCCCCATCCCATCAATTAAAGTTTATGAATGTTACGAAACCGGGGTTCTAACGAATTCAGTCATTATATTATTAAGAACGCTCAATTTTGATATTAAACTATAAATTAGAGCAATTGTAGACAGGTAACAGAACAGGTAGCTGTTCTTTTCTTCTTGTAAGTGAATAATTTTAATAATACGGTGGTCGTATTTGCTTTAACAAAACGTTTCCGGACCCAAAACCTCTCTCACGCCCATAATGGAGCGTTTAAGATTCGAGCTCACGTTACACTGAAATGGCACCCCTTGCCTTGCCAAAGTAATAGCTACGAAAATTTCACTTTTTCCACTGAAGACGAGCGAGTCATCGACCGTGTATCGAAAGTAGGTTACCATCGTCTGCAGTTATCGATTGCGGCGAAGAATTGATTATGAAATGGCCCCCCCACTTGGGGGACAAGAAAGTGATTGTTTAGACTCCGACCAATTTAAATATCGTCTGTGTTTAGATATTCAATTAAAACTGCCAAAGGAAATGTTTAGTCTAAAAATCCAGCGACAAGACAAAGAAGTGCTTTTAGCATCCGATGGTTGGAAATAAAAGTAAAACTGAAGACCTGACAGGCTGTTTTTAGAAAAAAGGATTGAGTTACGCGCCAGTTGATCAACGTAGCTTTTCGATTAAAAACTGAAGCACGTGGAAGTTTTGAATTACTTAGCGATAACTTAACCGCATTACCCTGCTGTTGTTGTCTTCAGTTCGTTACGCCATTAACTTTTTTCTCCCCGCGATCGAATAACAATTAATTGAATATAAGAATGCGCCAACCTTTTGAACCTCGCCCAATTTGCATGTATTCAAAACTCGTTTCACACTCTCTGGCACGGGACGAAGATGGCCATTTTTCCAATTATAACCATACGTGGAGGACGTAAAGGTCAACATCTCTCTGTCAGAATTACCGTTGATAATTATTACTTAGATATTTACAAATGAATGTGTATGCGCATAATTATTAAAGCTTACACGTATAGATACGTGAATTTAGATTTTTTTTACATTAAACAGTCACGATTTTGAAGAGGTTCTCACGACCAGCACGGTGCTAAATCGTTCTACTTACACGTAATTTTTCCAAATATTGAATCGCACAGATTCACTAACAATGGCGCGCTTCATACATAATTAACTTTGACCTAAAAGTAGAAAATCTGCATTGTTGTAGAGACCTTCGGATTTGTCTATGTAACGCGATTGGGTGATTTAATAGTAGATTCCTTCGTCATAATTGAAAAGAAGAATGGCCTTCGTATTAGGCGATGATTAATGTGGAAAAAGATTCTTAAAATAAACAGCCCCCTCCACGTGCGCAATTTGCCAGCTATAAATATTTAAAGTTAGATAAATACCGTGAGAGTGGCGACCATGAAAATAAACACGAAATGTAGATTAATCAGGTATTCCATAGTACAGATAATGTCCATCAAGTTAGAACGCGGAAATTAAAAAAAAAATTTGCGTGGATCAGAAACCCACACAAATTAAAGGTAGATAATGATAGGGTAGCGGTAGGATGTCGCATCCCCAAAAAATATTGCAGTTCTTTGTCTTGCATTACGCTTGAGACCTTTGCATATAACAATGCGATTCAATTTAAGTCTGTGTAAATCTCTAGTGTAATCTTCTATGGATGGGCCCTTGTACGAAGCGTGGAACAAGAAGATACACAGGATTCGTGACTTTAAATCACGTTTCTAGATCGTCTCGCGTTCCCCGATGTACGAAAGCGTGATTTACTCGTTTCACGATCCCTGAAAAACGTTTCTAATGGTATTGTAAGTAAGAAAGGGGTTTACCTTTGTAATGTATAAGATAAGGGCATGTTTATTCTAATGCGTTGACATCCTGTGACCGCCGCATGTAAATAGGTTTCCGGTTCGAAGGCGAACAGGTGCTTGATGAATGTACAAGGGAGAAATTCCCCTCTTTTTCCTCCTGATGAATATTAATATTTATGATTTACCTACTTCACAATGCAAATCACAAAAGACAATTAATTCAGATTAAAAATTATCGTTTCCTTCCATTTCCAGAAGAAAAAAACCGCTCTTCCTAATGTGTGAAGTTTATGAATTCGGTCATTCATACTTTTGTGATACCCATACTCGAATTTCATCCCTTATTGACTTTGTACAAATCGCGCAGTTAACGTTTAGAAATATCATGTAATCGGAATACCCACACAGAAAAACTTCCATCCTCTCCCAAATGAGAAGCCGAGACAATGATATGTGAAAAAGATTTCTGTATTGCATCTATTTTGCAGAAAAAGCCCAAATTTTCTCAACTCAAGCAATAACCGCTAGTATTATTATGGCCTTCACATATACTTTAACGATTCATAAAGATTTTACTCTGCCATAATCAATAGGAACGTATGAATATGAGCGTGAAAAACACAAGTAGCAAAAATATGTTTTATGTCAAAAGCCATAAATATAGTGTGCAGAACAATAATGATTATGTAATAAAAACACACGGAGCTATACAAGGTTGAATACAACGTAATTACAGTTTTTTTCCTGCGTGGTAAATTTTATGTAGCCAAAATATGTAGTATTAAAAAAATGCATAGAGAAAATTTCACCATTTCAGATAAAGTATATAAAATCAGCTCAATTCAATTAAAAATTGTGCTATAATTTCTAACTTGTCATGAAAGCTGCATCCAACTCCAGTGACGCAAGTAAACGATTTTCAATGAGGGAATTTTTTGCTCGCATTCGGAAACACGAAAAGAAATCGATTACGGAAGGTCTTTTCGTTCTTGACTCTTAATCGATTTGGTTTCTTTTTTTAATATCTTAGTTTGAGCCGTGGTTTGAGGCTAAGCAGGAGCGATCCTCAAAACATGAAGATCCAACTCTACAAAAATGCGTCATATAGGTACACCCTATATGTACCGATATGTACTCAATCCGTGGACACTGTACCTATATCGAAAAATTTTGTTTATTCCTGGAGATGCAAAACATAAACCATTCCCCATAAAACTTTAATTGCAAATAAAATTAATAGTTTTGCCAGTCCGACTTTTTTGACTTCTTTAAAATAAATTTCACGACTTATTCCAACCCTGGCAGTAATAGAATAGCTTTTGGACATCAAATTATCAATTATCAATCAATTAATAAAACAAAAATATTTGATTTGATTGCACCAAACTCTACAAGGAATTAAAATCCCTTTCAAACAAGTATCAAGTATCCACGCTAAAACCGTAAGAAACGACAAGCGTCTTTCGATTTTCACCAACAATAATGCGGTGACATTTGCTCGAAAAATTTGGGAAAAATCGCGAAACCTCGAACGTGTTTTTCGATTTTCACAAAAAACAACATCTACATCTCCGCTAAGGCTAACTACAGACAAAGATCCTATGGTGAAACATTTTTTCATTTTTTTGCTCAATAAAGAGAGCCTAAACAAGCGCCTATATTTCTTGCGTCGCGAAAATGTGAGCGCATGTGCCACAGGGTCCCTTTTTAATACAAAATCTTTGGAGGGGGGCTTGTAATTCCGGGAGTGGGAGAGGGGGTAATGTTTTCATACGCAGAAGCACCTGTTTGGGCCATCAAGCAGGTTATGGCCATCCTGAACAATTTTCTTTCAATACTAAGAATACCGTACATAAATACTGTGTTAAGATTGTAAGGTTGGCAGTAATGTAACAAAAATGGTGGCTGTGTTAAAGCAGAGCTGAGGTCCAAATTCTTAAGCAATATATGTTAAAAAAGTTAGGTAAGTTTGTGATGTCAGACAAACCATATAAAAGCTCCAATATTAGAGTCGTTTTTTTTTGGTATATGGATGAATAATCAGTCGGTTTATAGGAAATAAAACAAGTGCCACAGAATAGCAATTTCACCAGTTCTGGCCATTGCACTGACCAAAATAAGTTTTACTATTTCTACTTTTCGCCACGATGGCCATAAGTTGGTTACCACTGTTGGCCATAGAGTGGTTTTCTGCCATTTTTATTGGAAGCCTAGAATTTAAGACTTAATTCAATTATACCGGGCTTGCCTTGAGGTGAGATTCGCTACAATCATTCTGTCGTAGTTCAAAAAGGATTTATTTCTCATTAGATCATTTAGACTAAAATAGAATCAACATTCTTAATTGAATTAAAAAATTGCGAAAACTTAATAACATATCAAAGCTCACTTGTTCTTTTATATGAAATTTGGTTGGAATGAGGAAGATGATAATTGGAAGCAAGCTCCCCAAGTAGTACTTAAATTCCCATTACCCGAATTCGATAAATAATTTCAATTTGATTCGGATGATGAGTTCCACGAAGTATAGTGTACAGCTCCAGCCACAACGTTGTTTTCAATACTATTAGTACAATCGACTGTGATACTGTAGGATTAAAAAATAACCAAACTGAATTCACTTCGCACCTGAAGAAACAGTGATATTGAGGACTTAATAATAATGATTAGGAAGAGACAACGCAAAGAAATAATATTTTACCAGCAACATTGCTGACAAGTCTAGATTTAGTAACAGAAACCAAAGAAGATAAGGCCGAATGAACCCTTACTTTGCTAAGTAAAAATGAAATACAAGCAGAATTGGAATTGACTTAGAAACAGAAATTGAAG